GTTCTAAAAAGCAATTTTCTTTAAGAAAATTATTTCTGAAAAGACTTCCTTCAAAAAAATGTCTCCAAAATTATTCTTTTAAAGAGAATATATCTTCAAACAATTTTCAAAAAAAATGCTTTCAGAACATTTCTTATGAAGAAAATCACTTTTGAAGTGTTTTCCTTCAAGAAATACACTTTTAAAGTGTTTCTTATAAAGGAAATAGCTTCTGTAACGTTTTTTTTAAGAAATATGATTTCAGAGTATTTTCTTTAAGAAATTTGCTTCATAGCAATTTCTTTTAAGAAATTTGCTTACATAGTGATTTCTTTTAAGAAATTTCACTTCTGAAGACGTTTACTTTGGGAGTGAATTTTTAAAGAAATACGCATCCGTAGCATATCTTAGAAAAATACCTTCAGAACATTAGCTTTGAAACAAAATGCTTTTAGAACGTTGCCAGTACGCTTGAAGCATCATAATTAAAGATGGCACTGTAATTAAGAAGTTGCAACTTGATAAGTTGCAACTTGGGTTGCAACTAGTTGCAACTCCTTGCAAAATTTATTTTAATATAAAAATTTATAAATAGTTGCAACTCAATGAGTTGCAACTTAAATTGCAACTAGCTAAAAATTTTAAAATTAATTACAGCTCCATCTTTAATCATAACTCTGCCATTCTCATTTAAAAGTTTTGCGAATTATTGATGATAAGTATAAATATATTGATTAGTTTGATGTTTGATTTATTTGTTTGGTTTGTTTGATTATTCATTTTACTTGTGCAAAGTTGATAAAAAGACCATTACCTTATATTTATATGTTTTGTAGCAATACCCGCGATACTCGTGGTCCAAGAATTGAATTCGGAATTTTTGCGATTCGTAAGGTGGCACCACCAACGTAATTGTTTCGAATTATTGACCGGTCCTGTAAAGAAAAATTTTTCATTAATACGCAATTGCGGAAATGATTATAAAGCTTAATGGATCCTTTTTGCGTACCCTTTAATTCTAAATATATATATAATTAGAATTTGGTGAAGTAATTGTCGGGATTATATTCTCTTGTTCTGCTGTCCCTGACATTATTGGTGATTTGTTTACCATTAATTGATTTATTGAATCTATTTTCCTGATATTTTTGAAGATATAGCTATTTGCGAATAGTATTGATTCACATAGGTTGCATACTTGCTCGATTGCGATATTACTATTATTGCTTAGTAATGGTATTTCTATTGATTTAACTAAGACCATTCTGTGGAATAGTTTCATCTCATGGTCAAGAACGTAAATGTCTATTGTCGTTTTATAGAAATGAATCATTATATGATTAAACTCATCCCAAATGTCTTTAGCTTCAGGTACATCAAAACTTTTTATATATTTCAATCCATGATCCCAATCGTCCTTAGAAAATTTGGCTTGTCGTGTTATATCTTCAAGATAATGATCTTCCTCAAACAAATACGAGGCATAACTGACCTCAGAAAATCTAAACTCCCACTTGTGATCAGAATCTTCGTATTTTTTTGAGATTATTACATCAGGAAGTCGAATTGACCCCAATTCCTATTTTTAGTCGACTCACTTTGTCTTTTCAATAAAATAGATAGAAGTAAATTTTTAATATAAGTAAAAAAAGCTATTGAGGGTTAAATTTATTTCATAAATAATTATAAATAAAAAAAAATAATAAATTACCATCAAATTCTATGTTGATATTTTCTATATTATAAAACATAAAATCAAAGATACACTTGACGACCTGGTGCGTATATGATCTTTCATTAAGATTAGGTGATTTTTGTTGATATAACGGCATTTTCCAAACCAATTCCAATTGAGTTAAAAAAGAACTTAGTGCATTGTAAAATTTCTTATAATCATCCCGAAAATTTTGCATGGTTGCAGATCATGTTTGATACGTGAATGGATAAAATTCTTTTCGTAATCACTTAATTCAACTTTAAATATATCAGAATCATACGAATACAATTCATTAATACAATTATAATGCTTAATAGCGTTAAAGATTGGTTTGTGATATTTTTTTAAAAAATCGCCATTAACGATGCCATTTGAGAGCAAATCTTCAGGAACAAGATTTGTGTTTTTTATTTTATCACAAATCAACCTTGAAGCAGTTAGCATTTTAGGAAAGGATGCAGTAAACTAACAAAATAATAAGATGAGTCAGTTATGGGTCAGCAGTTGTCTGTAATATTACATCGACGACCATTTCGTAATATTAGAATTAACATGAGCATAGTATATTTACATTAATAAATCTTTCTTTTATTTCAATGCTGTTGAATTCCACAATTGACAAATCTTCAACCGATCCTTCGGATTCTGTAACATCACAATCATCATAGTCTGAACAATCATCATCACTCTCAGCACCATCACCACAGATATTTTGATCTTCAATATCATGATCATCATTTTCATTATCTTCATTCGTGTCTTCTCCAACCTCCATTTTCTGATATAGAAATTCAATATTCTTTTCTTTTGCGCATCCTTGAACATATTTCCAATATTTAGCGGAAGAGATTTTCAACG